CGCAAAAAGGAACAATTGGCACTTTCCACGAAGACTCCTTCTATGAGAAAGCGAGGACATTTTGTCATGGCTGAATACCATCTGTCCATCAAGGAAGCAGGATCTAATTCTCCAATTTCCTGTCTCCTCAGTAGGAGTCACCCAAGGGCTTAGTTATAACACCCAAGAGCTCAGAGATAGCTCCCACAGCAGTACCTACATTTGCATTCTTAAATCACTAGTAAACTATTAACATAAAAAACAAACAAAAAACAACCAAGAACTGGAAATGTTAACAGGAAGTATGAAGGAAAAAAAGACAGCCTGAACTATTCTCTCCCCACCCCCATGACAGAGTTTGGCAAGATGTCCTCCTTTCCTCAGCGAAGAAGGAGCCTTCATGGGGAAGGACAACTTGTCATGGAACCTCCAAAAGCAGTCAGATCCCACATAAGTTATAAGAGCATATTCCACCTGGACCAGTTTTTGAAAAAGTGCTGCTGAAGGCTGTGTCAGCTGAGGTAAGGATATTCATCTTATAGTGTCTAAAAATGTTGAAATTGATGACCACATGACTGCCCTACAGATTTCTTCAACAGATGCGTTCTCAACCAGAGCAGCATTGGTGGTTGCACTACAGATGGAATGAGCTGTAATACCTGTAAGCAACTTAAATTTTTGAGCTTGTTATGCATGAATGATACACTGCCTTACAGCCTTACTTACTTCAACTTCTGAAATCTTCTGCCCTTTATTTGATAGACTGACTGAAATGAAGAGGAAATCCATTTTTCAAATAGCCAATGTGGATGTGACATAGATAAGGCTCTGCTTAAGTCTAACAAAGGCAATTCTTTTTCTTACAGATGAACCAGGTGGTCCAAGAGGAGAGCTATCTTCTATAATATTTGCCTCTAGTACGGTCTCAGAAATCACTGGAGTGGGCAAGTGTGGGACATATCCATGGGACACAGCTGATACAAGTGATCATGAGGCGTGGCAAGCTTGGCCAGGTTCATCAGAATTGTGGCTCTGGATCTATTAATAGTTCTGTCATTTGAGAAATATTCAAGGGTTTGTGCTCTGGTAGACAGAACCTGCTCCTGAAAGATTCTATTATGACTCCCGTGTGCTTTATGTGCTGGGAAGGAGTCATATCACTCTTGGTTAAATTCAGAAGAAAACCGTAAAAAGTGACACAGAGAATAGTGGAGATGAGGTCTGCATGAGCTCATGTCAGACTTTGAGACCAGAGCATGGACTCTTCACCAACACTGGTGACTGAGCTGATGGTGAAGGGACTCTTCACCATCCTTGGTGACCTGACTCCCCAACAGGAGTGCATCTCCTTACATCTGATGTTCAAAGAACTCAGTGAAAGGTACTATACTCTACACCCTGGCAATCTGGGGAAGAATTTTTTATTTCTCTTGGGCTTTGGGATCCTTCTTCTATTCCCCAGACTCAGGTGGTTCTGAGAGGTTCAGGGCAACTGTGTGTCCTTGGTAGTCCTACTGATTAAAGAGGCACTTTGGTTGTTTTGGGATAATTGCTTCTTCTCCCTCAAAGAGTTTCCCATCTTCCTTATCAGAAGAATCATCTGAGTCTCCTAAACCCTGGGTGATGAGGGCAAATTCCTTCACTGTAGAGCAATGACAGCATAGGGCAACAGATGACTGTGTTGTCTTACTAATCCAGGGTCTATGTCCTAAGCACTGCCCCTGTTCTAACAAGGAATCCCTACTACCCCACCTAGAAGATCTAGTGGAGGAGACAGAGAGCAATCTAATAGGAAAGCAGGAACATTATCTTGTTTGGTCCCTGCATGTTGGAGAGGAGTCTGCCCACTGCTACAATCATATTTCTGCTATCATGGCCTGTTGCAGCCAGCTAGCCACCTCCAGCAAACAGCTGGTAAACAGTCTGAAGGGGAGGGGATGCTGGGGTTTATCCCCACCATTGCCCTGTTCCTCAGAATGCCTATGTTCCCCAGGTTGCTCCTCTGCAGCCTCTAGTGCTGAACTCGAGTTCCCACGCATCTTGGTCAACACTAAAAGTTTTCCCACCAAAGCTTGCTGCCTCTGTTTCTTCTTGGTCACAGTGGCACCATGCAGCAGCTTGCTTCCCTTGGCATTTCTGGCCCTCCACAGCCACTCTCTGCAGGGCTAGAGCAGCTATTCTACATGGGGGAAAGGTTCTTACTTCCCAATTTGAGGAGGAGCAGGGGGACCCCGTCCCGCTTAGAAAGAAAGCCATCTGAGGCTTCATTGAAATCCTTCTGCCTGTCCATTCCTCAGCTTCAGCCAAGCCACTCCACAGAAAGGGAGAGGGAGGAGAGGCAGGAAAAAAGGAAACAGAAAAGTCAGTAGGAAGAGGAAGGAAGAGAAAAAATGCAGAATATAGATTTGTGGGTAGGGGGTGGTAGGAGCCCCCCTCCCCCAACACCCAGCTCCCATGAAAGCCTGTTCTCCCTGATACGGAACGAAATGAACAGAACTATAGGGTGACTCCTACTGAGGAGACAAACAATTTGAGAATTAGATCCTACCTCCTTTACGGACAGATGAGAATCACTCATGACAAGCCACTCACACACTCAGAGTAAAAAGACGAACAAACTTATTGTAGCATAAACTTTCATATAGTGACGAAAGATTCACTTCAAGGATCTGATGAGTATGCTTAAGCCTATGAAAGTTTATTAATCTTTAAGAAGCCATGAACTCTTATATTATTTTCATCTGCTATATTAACTGACATCAAGAATGCCTTGGCTTCACTTACCAAATAAATGAACCAAACTGATTTCTAGAAACGTTTGTAAACAAATTCACAAATTTACAATGATAATCTCAAAGACTCACTAGTAATTTGCAGATAGAATGGATTTGTGCCCACAGAGTGTGAGTTCTTTGTGCGCCCCTCCAGCTGCAGCCCTAAATGCCCCCCCCCCCAATGCTATTCCTGGTAGACAGGGAATCCCAGTTACTGCATGAAGGGGCCTTAGAGATCTTCAGCAGGTGAGAAGAATGGGCAAAAATTACACACCCCCTTCCATCCAAGGAAGTCCTTCTAAAGATCCAAGTTAATAAGTATTTTCTTTGTTATAAATTTTCCAACTAAGTTTCATTTACAAGTCGAATGACAAAACTCTCCTGTGTAAACCCCATTTTCATAAGGAAGGCGAAGAGCACCACTGTGATTTTCCACAATGCATTCAATTCAGTACAAGTGACAAGGATGCACATACATGCTCACTACACTTGCCCAAGTATATCTTCCTCCCACCTTCAATAAGGGTTATAATTCCCATATCCTTCCAAACCTGGGGACAGGGTGTCATTCTCATAATTGTGCTGTACACTGGGGTGCACTCTGCTTTCATAAAAATCAGAAAGTCTCCAGACTACAGGGATAATTCCCCTCTCCCAGTGCCATGCTTAGGAAGAAGGCTGGAGTTTGTCTATACTATGCTGTACTTTCAATGCACTTTAGAATGGCAATGTGAATGTAGGATTCTACTATATCCATCTAATTTCTACACTTAAGAGGAGAGTCAGGGCTCATCACTATGGTGCTGCACTTTCATAACCACTTGGAACACTCTGAAAGCACAATGTGACTTCGGGGGGGTCCCCTACCCCCAGCTTTGAGCTCAAGCGATCATCTGGGGCTTATTCATCTCAACCTGTGCTTACAAGGAACATGAAAAACTATCAAAGCACAGTCAACAATGAGTAGCCCCCCCCCCTTCTTACCCCCCCCCCCAAGGCTGGTGCAGGAGGAAGCAGGGGGAGTCTCATGCTATGCTTCATAGGCACTTGGAGTACTTCCCTAACTCAGTATGACATCATTTATGAGCCACCTCTTGCAGGAGGCACAGGGTCCATGCAACCAAATATTGGCTGACTACAAAGGCTACTCAAAATCTGTGGAGTCATTAAGACCTGCACAGGAAATTATCTGAATGAACTGTGCTTAGTGCTGGAAAGGGATATTTTCAAGCCATTTACATTCATAAATTTGCTTTATCTGCAAAGATCTTAACTATAGAAAACCTGACAAATCACTAGGTAATGCAGATATTCAAGTAAAAATAAAACACCACTTCAGAAACAAACACAAAGTATTAAAAAAATACAAGGAAAAAATTTTGAACTAGGAATAATACGGTTTGCAAGAAAATGCTAACTATTCTGGTTTTATATTTTTAATTTCATTTCTTACTCTTTATGTTTCTTCCTCTTGACATCATTGGATGAGTCACCTACAGAATCTTCACTACTTGATGAGTCCTGCATTGAAAACCAATATATACAGGATCCATTAAAGATACATTCTATTTCTCAACTGTGTGGTCCCAGTGCAGTACTATTGCTTACTGAAAGATGTTTTAATACAATAATAGAAGATACACAAAATAATCTGATAAAATCTGGAATATATCAATTCTACTTATATCTGTACAACAAAAGGAGATTATGATGCATTTGTGAAATATAACTTACTTCCCCTTGAGAAAGGCATAAAGCTTGGGAAAAATAAGTGAAATAACTTCAACAAACATCCAATATAAAATCCACGGCATTACAGAAGTGAACTGATTTATCAAAAACTGAATGTTTCCCCTTAAAAACACAACCCTAGAAACGTCTAGCAATCTGTAAGAAATATTTTAAATTTGTGCCAACAAGATTGAAGGTTTTCTTCAGTAACAGAATGTATTTTTAACAACTAATTTATACAAATTAGTTCTCATTCAATGCCACATACTATCCTAAATAAGAACAGAATTCTCCCGCCCCCCATTATACTAATTTAACACTCTATAAACTGTGAAGGTATAACAGAGAATTTGTTGGCTTCTTCTGGAGCAACGCCAACAGCTTCTGTTACTGGTATGGTATGAATTCTCCTCATCACTAGTGAGTCACCCGTCTCAAGTAGATGAGCAGCACTGAACTACACCGTGAAGGAAAGCAAACAACAATACAGAGTAGGATTTATGGCGAAGACCCCATAGCTAAATAGAAAAGAAGGATGAAAATCATGTCCCAAGAGACACTTTGCTATCTTAGTGGAACGGACTTGCAGAACTGTTGCATTAATCAAACACATGCAACAAAGAGGTAATGGCTACACTTTCCATGCTTCTTAAAAGCTGTAATTATTTATTAATTTTTATTGACTTTATATTCCACTGAGATTCAAAACAGATTGCAGGCTATAAACAGAGACAGCATAAGACAACCCATAAACAATTCAATAAGATTAGGATTCCAGAATTAGGAAACAATGCGAACAATAAACTATCTATAAATAATATAGAAAGTAGATTACAAGGTAAAGACAATCCATGAAAAGAAGGTTATAACTATAATAACAATCATTGTAGTGGACTTGTAGTGGACTATTGCATTATAAAGGTACCCACCTGGGCTTTTCATTCTACTACACTTCTAATATGTCTTAAATTCAAATTCAAAATGGTAATTAATTGGAGTATCTACTGAATAGGTTGAGATGTGTGTCCCACCTGATGCCCAACAATAACTGGGATGTGGCATTCTGCACTAACATCAAGGAAGACCACTTCTCACTTGCCTTGAAAGCCCCTTGCTGGGGTTGCCATAAGTCAGCTGTGACTTGATGGCACTTTACACATGTATGGAGATATGGAAGTCTGATCTCTCATTTGAATTGATGCCAGTGCTGGGTCCCTCTTCAGCTCCTCTCCAGTGCCCGGAGCTCCAGGCTGGAGGGGCTTTTCTTTTGATGCTGCCTCCTTCCTCTTCTTAGATGCCCCCCCCCCAGGAATCCATCTTTTCTTCTTCCATGCTTTGCTTCTGAACTTCACTAAATTACTTTAAAAAAAAAAAAGGCGTGGAACCTAGGCTGACATGTCCTGCTTGGAGCTGCAGGGCTATCCAAATTGGAGAGGTGGTTTCACTCTCCCCTATGTCAGTTGCACAAAGATTGCATAGCCTTGCCTGGAGCAAGAGGAGGCATGATCTAACCAGCTTGGATGACTCCCCCCACTGAAGGAGAAAAAATAGTACATTAGAATCTCGAGTATACCTGCATATTGACCTATGTGATGTATGTAAAAACTGACTCAGTTCCAAGACCCAAAATTTATTTGGGTACACAGATCACTGATCTGGAGTATAAGTTCAAGAGAAAAAATTAAATCCAATTTTTTTGTTCTTAGAGAAATAAAGGCAGTAAAATTAATGAATTAATTAAGAATTATTCACCTCTTCAGAGCCACTGTTTGAGGATGCTGCTTTTGACTGCTGCTGTTTCCTGAGCATTGCAGATCTTTGAACAGCCAGAATACTTGGGTTTGATTTCCAGAACTGAAGAGAAATTTAAACAAAAAATTTGCTAAATTAACAAGCCATCTGTTACCCCAAATTATAAGAAATGTAATCCATATCTGGCATCTTTCAAGGGCCCTCTTAACCATACTGTGGCATCACTAACAGTGAGCGCTGCATTTTAGCATAACTATTCTAGAGCCTTACTTTTTGTTGTAGGTGATACATAGAGATGTAAAATCTCCAGAAGGTAGACACAGGAATTATACTGTCCACAACAGACATAGGAATTATCATTATTTAATGTAGAATTTTATATAAAATATTTCATACTGCTTAGTTTGAGTAAAACCTTAAGTTGAAAAGGTTTCACTCATTTCAAATGGCAGAAGAAAAAATCATAGGAATTTTCCCCCAAGTTTTCTATTGGAACAATTGAAAAAGTCCTCAGACTTCTGCATACTATATCTTCTGAGTGAGAAGAACACTGCCTTACAAAGCAACTTACTCATTCACAGGAGGCTTTTTGTCAGCCCCCCCCCCTAAATTTCCCAATTTTTCTATCAGAATTTTGTTTAAGTCTCCAAAAAAGGGAAAAAATGTTTTTCTGGAATTTTTTCCCCAAGCCTTCACATCTCTACTGATACACAAGGATTCAAACCACTCCAATTCATAGAAATCTGTGTATGTTTTAAAGTAAAGAAAATTTGATTCCACAGTTAAAACAAAACTATGCCATGTGTTTCTTATATTAATACACCCAGGATATACAGTTACTATTAAAAAGGCATTCTACTACACCAAAAAGGCATTCAAGTTTTTGATAAGGATATGGACATGATTAATTTTGAAAGCTTCTTCCACAAGCTAAAGGGTACTCATGAATTGCTTAATACAAAGAAACTAAATTTTGTTTCTTCCAAAATCATTTTTAAAGTTTTTTTAAAAAGTTAAAAAGAAACACAATGTGTTCATCACAAGTTAATTCATGTAGGTGTACATCCATGGAACCTTCCCAACTTCAATCAGATGTTTTCAAGGCATGTCCCTTCAAACACCCTAAAAAATGACACACTAAATTTAACGTGGTGCATGGCTTAGTAACACCAAGACCACTTTCACAGTAGTGAAATTCCCTGCACTGATGTTTTTAAAACTGCGTGTTATGTGAAACTTTCTACAGTAGCTTTTTCCTCACCAGGCACAGACCTGAAGTGTTCTCCTTCTTACTCCGCATTTTTGGAACCCCCAGTTTTAGCAAATTTCAAAAACACGAGGTAAGAAGGAGAAAATGGAAGATTTATCTCCACTTACCGTGAAGCTTCCTCCTCAGTGGTCCCGAGTGGGGCAGTCCTTTAGACTCCTTACTCCTGGGAATAGCTCCTCCTCTTTGAAGGCAGGGCCAGCAGACTCTTTAGTCACGGCTTGTCCCCTGCAACCCAGTTGTTCTCCAAGCCTCCATTCCCCTTCACTGCAAAGGAAACTGACAACATCGCTCCCAACAGGGAGCTAACTACCCAACAAACATTAAAGAACTCACCCCCCAGGCAGAACCGGCTAGGGCAACCTACCCCCAAGCCCTTGTCTGTACATGGATGAAGCCAAACACCCACCCCCATTGACAAAGGAAGCGGTTCCCCTACACAAAGGGTGGGGAGGACTGCCCCACTCTGGACCACTGAGAAAGCAGCTTCACGGTAAGTGGAGATAAATCTTCCATTCTCCGGTGGTCCAGGAGTGGAACAGTCCTTTAGACTCCTTACTCCTGGGACATGAAAAAGCAGTACCTTCCAGGGTGGGTCCAACCGCTTCCCTATCTAATAGGTGTGCTGCAAGACCCTACGGCCAAAGGCAGCCTCTACCGAAGAGGTCTTGTCTATCCTATAGTGCCTCGTAAACGAGTGTAGTGACCTCCATGTAGCTGCCTTACAGACTGCTTCCATTGATGGGAAAGCCCTATAAGCTGCTGAGATGGTTGCCCCTCCAAGGGAATGGGTTGTTACCCCCTGGGGAGGATCCAGACCTCTAGCCTTATAAGCCAGGTATATACACCCTCTAATCCACCTATTTAGGGAGGATGTAGACACCTTTCTACCTAGTGACGACTTCCTGAACGAAACAAAGAGGGAGTCTGTCATCCTCACGTGTTTTGTCCTATCCAGGTAGAAACTCAGTGCCCTCCTCACATCAAGGCAATGCCATTCCATTTCCTTCTCACTTTGAGGATTTGGGCAAAAGATGGCCAGATCTGTACAGAGGACTACCCTATAATTATGGAAGACACATAGCTCTTTGTCCTCCAAAAGTGCCCATAACTCTGATACCCTCCTTGCAGAGGTAATGCTTACCAGGAAGACCATCTTGAAAGTCAGCTCCTTTAAGGCACATGTTGCCATTGGCTCAAAAGGAGCCTTACACAGCGCCTTAAGGACTATATTGAGGTTCCAGGTCGGAAACCTATGTGCCTGCGGATGATTCAACAGGGTCGTACCCCTTAGGAACCTTTTGATGTGGGGGTGTCTAGCCACTGAATGACCTTTCTTGGCTCCCCTGATGGCTGAAATGGCAGCAACCTGTCTCTTCAGGGTACTTGTGCTAAGCCCTTTCTCCAACTCCTCTTGAAGGAAAAAATAGGATCTTACCAATGGGTGCCCTAAGAGGGTCCAGGTCCCTCCCTGCGCACCAAGAATGGAATACCTGCCATGGGTTGTTAAAAACTCTGTTGGTGGACCCCTTCCTGGCCGCCAATATGGTCTTGACCACCCCCTGTGGGTAGCCTATATCTGACAGCTACTGCTGCTCAACCTCCGGGCTGTAAGCTGTAATGACCCTGGTTGAGGATGAACCGTTGCCCCCTGTGTCAGAAGATCCTCCAGTGGAGGAAGATGCCACGGTTCCCCGCACCGACAATCGCAACAGATCCTGAAACCAGGCCTGTCAAGGCCAATATGGGACCACTAGAATGATTTCTGCGTGTTGATCTATCAGTCTTTGGACCACTCTCTGAATGACTTGAATCGGTGGAAAAACATACAGTAGCACATTTGGCCACTCTAGATGTAGTGCATCTGTGCCTATTGCCAGGGGATTCTCTAATCTTGAGCCAAAGTTTGCTGTTTTACGATTTTTGTTTTATTTTATTTTTTGTGTAGCAAATAGGTCCACTTCTGGTATCCCAAATGTGTGACAGAGTTGAGCAAACACTGTCCTGTTGAGCATCCACTCTAACAGATCTATCTACTGACTGCTCAGCCAGTCTGCCTCTTCGTTCTCCCGACCCGCCGCCACATGTATTGCTTTTATGGACAGTATGTTCCTCTCTGCCCATCTCATCATTCGACTTGCTTCCTCATGTAGCTGTTTGAATCAGGTCCCCTCTTGCCTGTTGCTGTTATATTATCCGTTCAGACTAATACGTGACAGCCTGCTATCTCTCCGTGGAATTTCTCTAGAGCCATTCTGATCGCTCTTAGCTCTAGCAGATTCATGCTGTTGGATCTCTCTGACGGGTTCCAAGTGTCTTGTGCCATTTTCCCCTCCATGTGTGCTCCCCAGCCAAACAGACTTGCATCTGTTGTGATCGCCACTCAAACCGGTTCTCTGAGTGGCATGCCCTCTGAGAAGCGGTGTGGCTCCAGCCACCAAGCTAATTGTTGTTTCACTAACTGCGGAAGGACCACCTGTTTGCTCCTCTTCTGAGATATCGTGTCCTGAAAGGGGAGGAGACAGCGTTGTAGAGGGCGTATGTGGAATCTGGCCCAATGTAACACTTCCTGGCATGACACTTGCATTCCCAAGAGTTGTGCTAAAGTCATGACTTCCACTCTTTGTGAGAGCACGACTTCTTGCGTCAGTTGAATTAGCTTCTGTTGTCTCTCCTGAGACAGAAACACTCTGTCCCTCACCATGTCATCTTAACTCCCAGATGAAGCAGTGATTGAGTAGGGATGAAAGAACTCTTTTTCAGATTGATCACGAACCTGTGCTCCCCGAGTATCTCCAGTGTCTGCACCATCAGATCGTATGATTTGGCCTTGACTAAAATGTCATCTATGGAAGCCGTGAAGTCCCCTTTTTGAAAGGAGGTCAGAATGGATTTCACCGTTTCCATTTTGAACTTTTTGGTAACTACTTGTTTGTTTAGCCATTTGCGGTCTAAAATCGCTCTTACATCCCCATTCTTTTTTGGTACAGTGAAGAAGACAGAGAGGACTGGTTCTATTGCTCCTATATCTACCAGATGTGCAATTCTTGCCATAGGGGGATTGCTTCGAGGGGAAGGAGGGCGATCTGCCATCTCTGAACTTGGGTTGCTATTACTGGTTTTGGTCTCTCTTCTAGCATCTCGAAAGGACTGAATATATCTTCCTGTCTTCCCTTCTCTCTTCTTTGAGGGAAGAACCTTTTTCTTATCCTTATCTTCAATAAGGTACCTTTCCAAACCTTCCCCAAACAGGTTGGTGCCTTTGAATGGAACTGCTGCCACTTTTGCACGTGCTGAAGGATCCACATCCCAACTTCTCAGCCATGTATTGTCTCTCGTTGTGACACTGCAAGCCATGCTTCTGGCCAATTGTTGCACTACATCAAGTGTGGCATCAGTGGCAAAGGCCGTGGCAAGAGCAATCTTCTTTAGCTCATCCTTTAGCTCTTTTGGGATGCCACCATCCACCTTCGCCAGATCAGACGACTGCTACTCTGGCAAATAAGGAACCTGTAATTGAAGCTTGTAGGGCAAATAAGGAACCTGTAATTGAGGCTTGTAGGGCATTAGCAGATGCTTCGAAATCTCACCTCAGAGCTTGCTCTATACGCTTGTCACAGTTCTCCCTTGGCAGACCATCTGCCCCATAGGGAAGACTGAAGAGGATGTCAGACTGTTGACTGGGTCATCCACTACAGGAAGTTTCAGCTTTTTTGAAGCTTCTGGAATCAAGGAATAGAATTTCCCAAATGCCAGGTGAGTGGCCTTAGGTTTAGCTGGATGTTCCCATTCTGCCTTCATATTAAAGAAGGCTGCTGGCAGTGGTACCCCTGTTGTTTTGGTGATGGATTTGGGCATAGTTTTGTCTGATCCTGCAGGGAAACCTGAGTCCTCTTCCTTTTCTTTTGGGGTGTAAGCTCCAACGTCCTAATGACTTTTGGGAGCAGTCTATTGTAGAGTTCCTGGGGGGGAAATCTAGACTGGGCCACAGGAACTACCTCCTTAAAGGATCACCTGAACACACAAAGCTGCCTTATGCTGACTCAGACCTTTGGTCCATCAAAGTCAGTATTGTCTGCTCAGACTGGCAGCTGCTTTCCAGGGCTCAGGCAGAGGTTTTCACATCACCTCGTACCTGATCCTATTAACTGGAGATGCCAGGGACTGAACCTGGGACCTTCTGCATGCCAGGCAGATGATCTACCACTGAGCCACAGCCCCAGTCTTCCTCCTCCTCTGGCAATTGGCCCTCTTTCTTGGGTGAATCAGAGGCTTCGGATGCTGAATCCGAGTCTTGGTCATCTAGCAATGGGCTATGTCCCCTTTGGAATTCTGCATTCTTGTTTCTTTTCTTAGCTGGCAAAGTAGAGTCCCACTCACTATAGTTGGACCTCTTATGGTGTTGAGGAATATGGGGGGTGGCTCTGAGACTCTTGAAACATGGCTTTAAATTTTTTCCTCTTTTCCAGTTTTAACCAAGAAAGAAGGTTGACTTGTAATTCTACCCCAGGGGGGTGTTCTTATGCTTAAGTGACAGGGGAGTTAGGAGACTCAGCCTGATCAAAGGTACAAGTTTCAGTTTCCATTTCTTGAGAAGTGGATGGTCCTTGTTTGGCAGCCATTTTATACTCTCCCTGAAAGTGAAAGTAACAACTGTGTCCCCAAAATGGTTGCTTTCCCCCATTATCTTTTCCTTCCCCAGGTATGTAGCCCTTGGGAGTTCTTTGTCTGTCTTTGCCTTACCGATGGTGGTTTCCCATCCAGGTTCCCCCCTCAGGGCTGGCTCTGTCTAGCTCCCAAGAACTGAAGAGAACAAGCTGGCCTGGGGGGGGGGTAAAGTTATGGTGCGCAGTGGTGTGTTCCCACTGACTGCTCCATTCCTGGCCATCACGGTCCTTTTCCCTCTGCACCAGTCATGGGAAGGTGGGAGGGGGGGAACGGCCTTTAGAAGACGCCCTCCCAGACCTCTTCCCTGCTTACCACTCCGACGATAGCCAGGACTCAGAATCGGCCTCCCACACTGTCCTGCAGGAATCAGAAGCCAATTGTAAACAGCCGACGAGTGCTCACCGCCTCGCTGCGGCATCCCCACCGACATTAGGTACTTTGCCGCTTTTCTCTTGAGCTCCCTATGGGTAGGGAGCAGAGACCTGTCGACCACTCCCCCCTTCTGGACTGGGACACAAGCGGGAGTCCTGTTGGTGCTGCTGTTCCCCGGGGTTCTCCCAGGTCTGTCACCACCTTCCAAACAGAGCCGCTCTTCTCCCGCAGCTGGCAGGATGAAAGGGGGGGGGGGGTTTGAGGACAGAGTAAGCTATAAGCTACCTGTTCCTCTCCCTCTCCTTCTGATTTCTTCTTCTTCGTGTGACTAATGTGCTCTTTCTAGAGCACAGCCTGCAATGACCTGCTTGGAAGGCAGGGCCAGAGAGACTGGGTTCCAGGGGACAAGTCCCTTCCCATTGTGATTAAAGAGTCTGCCGGCCCTGCCTTTGGAGAGGAGGAGCTATTCCCAGGAGTAAGGAATCTAAAGGACTGTCCCACTCCTGGACCACCAGAGAACTTTGGGTCTGTGCCTGGTGAGGAAAAATCTACTGTGGAAAGTTTCTCATAACGTACAGTTTTAAAAACATCAATGTGGAGAATTCCACTACTGCGGAAATGGTCCAAGTATCAATGCCAAGCATTAAATCAAGTTAGTATGTTCAAACCTCATCAGCTCCATTTAGGAATGTTATTCTTTACGGAGCAATATTCTGAATGAAACAGAAACAAACATATGCTGTGGGATACCCCGAGCTAGGAACAGTATTAACTAGTTATGTACTTAGGGTGTTCCTTGTGATACACTCAGGCTCTTCATTATCACATACTAGAAAAGTGTTTTAGAATTTACAGTATTTGAGCAGATACCCACTTTTTAAAATATTCATGTTATAAGGAGTCAGTAATATACAAAAGTTTTACCTCAGCCCCATCAACCTTCGGCGGTTTAGCTTGGACCTTCTTTTCCTTAGAGGTGTCAGACTCAGATTCTGACTGACTGCCGGACTCTGAACCAGAATCCGAATCACTGCTTCCTGACTGGCTACTACTTCCATCGCTGCTGCTTCCAGAGCTGGAACCCGATCCAGAACCTGATGCTGAACCAGAATCATCATCTGACTGGCTGCAATGACAAGTTAAGAGCAAATGTTATTCAACAGGCTGGGAAAAGAGGACAATTAACCCAGATGGCCATTCATCATTTATAAGTCACTTAATGTTAGCTTTGAGGAAATAGAATTTGCCTGCTCACTATTATGTCTAGTTGATCTTCAATTTTTGCAAGAATGCTTACATCTGCAAGTTAGGGATCTTCCCTAAATCACTCAAAATGCAAATCACTGCACTCAGGAGTTATGAACAAGTTTTTTGAAGGTATAGACCAAGTACCTAGTAAATGGGCACCTTAGCAATGTGTGACATATCAAAGAATGTGGTATGTCTCAACTGCTGATGACAGCTATAAAGGGACTCCCCCTTTGTCTCAGAATTATGCTTGACACACTTTAAAAAACAAGTAGCCCAGTTAATTTTAAGCTCTGTTCCAAAGTCTGGACTCGGTTATTCTTTCAAACCATGCAAAATTGTGGTCTGACTCAGCCGGAATGTTCACTGAGGTTCCAATCAAGAGGCCACAAAGCAATGAAAGTGTGAAAGTGACTTGGATAAAGAAAAAAAACAGCACAGGTCCTTCTTGTAGCAAGAGGATTGCACAGTTTCTTGCCTTCTCCAAAGCCCAATGTGAAATGAATGGGGGAAGGGAGCAGTGACACATATAAGAGCTGACTAATAAGTCCAACCAAAAACTGTGGATAGTTTCCAAAGCCAATAGTTTCCAAAGGAACGGCAAGAACATGAAGGTGCATCTGCCCACCTTACCCTATTATGAGAAATCACTAGTTACTTTGCATTTTAAAGAAAGTATTGCATAATATGAAAAGTAGTGGTATTAGACATTTCACCTCAAAAATAAAGATTAAAATATCACACTAAGATCTTTATTTTCTGAAAGTTTTCTCAAAGTTGAGATAATCTAAGTATTAGTGATATAAAGAAATTTAATTCCCTTAACTACCAAACTGATTTAAGTTGTTGTGCCTAAAGAAAAACAGACAGTTGAAACATTCGTTAAGAAACTTTTAATTTCTTAATTAAAACTACTGAGATCATTGAATCAGTAAGTTTTCTGGCACACTCAATTCATAGCAGGTATCTAATACAAGACAAAACATTCTTACCACATGAAGTGTTGTGATAAGAACACAAATGGATATTTTTAAAAGGATGTTTTCCACAGTAACAGGGTGTGGTTGCAATAAAAGCAGTTTCTGCAAGACCATGCAAAAAGAAAGCTTAAGAGCTCATGACTCCAAGACAATCCTGCTCTACTTTCTCTGAATTAACTGAAAATGTTTTACAAGTTCCCAAGTAGCATATTGTATTCTATTTTCTAGAATAAGTCCAAATTAGCTTTACTTCAGATTTATGAGTGCATAAAAAATTTAAAACTGTCTTAAATTTTAGTTGATTAGTCAGCTAAATTGTATAGAAAGATTCCTCTTATAAGATTTTGAGAGCCATCATCTGAAAAAGTACGTTTTTCTGTATTATTGCTTTTATTCATGAGACAATTTAAATTGACTCAAACTAATTTACATTTCTGTAAGTAGATGATGGTTTTTCTTTAGATTATTAAGCATTCCGCCAAGGATCTATCCTTCTACTACTTATAACATCTGCAAAAATCCAAGGCAACTAAAAACTTCTATTCCCCCTCCCCCATTACTTTATAACAAAAACAAAAACCGAACATATAATCCACATAGAACTTACATAGCTAATTAAAAACAAGCCACACAAACGAAGGCAGCCCAAACGTAGCATCCGTACTGTACTAAGCTCGTGAATAAACAAGATACAAATGAGGCTTACTCCCTGAAAAGTTCTTAGAATCACACTGCAAGTGAGTTATGATGTGGTAGAGGTCCTAAATTGCTGCCTGGCCACAGCAATTAACTGGCTAAGTGAACAAACTGAAATAAACCCTGAAGAGTCAGAGGTAATGCCAGTTGGGAAGGAGGACATCTTGAAGGAGGACATTGTTCTCCCCATTTTTGATGGGAGTTCAACTGACCCTTACTAACTCCATTAAAAGCCTTGGGGTCAATATTGGATCCAGTTTTATTACTGGATAAGCAAATTAATGCAGCTGCAAAAAAGGCTTTCTACCAACTTAGCCTAGTGTGCAAAATGGCCCCTTACCTTGATACAGCTGACCTGACCACCTGGATTCATGCCACAATAACATCACAACTAAACCACTATAATGCACTGCACACTGGTCTCCCTTCAAAATCAACTTGGAAACTCCAGCTGGTTCAGAATGCCATGGTTCAGCTATTAATGGAAACTAGAAAGAGCAGGCATATTAATCCAATTCTGCAGATGCTCCACTGCTGCCCATCTGTTACCAGATTCAGTTTAAGGTACTGGCTATCACATTCAAAGTCCTTCATTGCCTTGGCCCCTTATTTGCGGGACCATCTCTCTCCTTGTGCTGCACCATGACAACTTTCCTCAGGTCAGTAGGGGCTTCTACAGGTGCCAACCTGCAAATGGGCAAAATCAACAGCTTCCCACACAAAAGATGTTCTGCCAGACCTAAAGTTGAAGATTGCAATGTTTTTTCACCTAGCCTGGCTCCTTCCTTCCTTCGCCCTCCCATGGGTAAAGGACACTAAATTGTGTGCCTCATGTGTAATCTGTAAATTGTTAAGGTTATTTTAATTCAATAAACTCTTTAAAAATTAACCCGATTACGGGGGAGGGCTATAAGCCAAAATAAATAAATAAATAAGTGCTTTCTTTGTTGTGATTCCCACCTTATGGAATGGTCTGCCCAAGGAGGTCAGGAAAACTCCTACTCTCCCAGCTTTCAGCAAAGTACACAAAACTGAACTATTCAAGAAGGCTTTTCTGCACAGGTATTAGGATTGCACTGTACAAAATGGTTTTACAAACTTGCTTGGATGAATTATTAGCAACTGTAGCCTATACTGCTGTGTATGGCATACTGTAATTTCTGTACTGCTTACTGTGTCACGTGCTATACTTCAGTTCTTTCTAGTGGTTCCAGACTCCTACAATCCTAATTCATTGGTTAGTGAATGTCCCATTCTGTTAATTGTACTGACTCACAATGTGTGATCCACCTTGTGTGAGAAAGGCAGACTACAAATAATGTAAATTAAATAATAAAAATAAAATAAAATGCAGTTAGCTGGCGAAGTAGCATATCTATATATCTAATTCCCAACTTGCCCCCTCCGTGCGGATACTTAAATCAGCACGGAGGGGGCAGGTGGGGGGCTGGGGGAGGTTTGTGTACACGTGGGCCAGTCCCCACGCGTGTACAAAAATAAAAAAAGTTTAAAAAAATTCGGGGGGATGTTAAAATCCCCCCGAAAGTGCAAGAGCGTCTCCTGCGCGTGCCGCCTCGGGGAGATCGAGGGGTGGGGGGGTGGAGGAGACGGGGCTCTTCTCCCCCCCCCGCGAGTATCGCGGGTCCCCCTCTTGTCAGATACTAATGTTTTCTAAACAATACAGACTGACATAGGAAAATAGAAGAACAATATTACAGTTAAACTCAGTACACAATAATAAAAAGTCTATATCACCATCCACACAAAAGACTGTCACCCAAAGATAATTTGGCATATATTCTGACAACTTTTAAAAAATACTCTAGAGCAGAAGTGTCGAACTCATTTGTTATGAGGGCCGGATCTGACATAAATGTCACTCTGTTGGGTCAAGCCATGTGTGTCATAAATCGTAATGTTGGGTACTGGAGATATAACTATATAAAAGATAGCAGCTGGTAAGCTCCAAGCTGGTGTATCCTCACTGCAAGGCCCCATGGGCTGAGAGGGGAGTGCAAAGGAAAACTCATATGAGCGGACTGGAGAGCCAGCAGTGCAGCACTGGGCAGATGCTCCCACACTGCTTGACTGCTGAATACGAGATTTTTCCACCATGCTGAAGCCACAATTGGAGTGGCTCCCCCCACTCCCCCCAACAGTCTCCTGTTCCTTCCCTTGTACCAGTTCGTTGCAGGCCGCATAAGAGCCCTGGACGGGACAATTCCGGCCCCCAGGCCTCATGTTTGACACCTCTGCTCTAGACAATTAGGTAACATATTTCACAGCTGAGTCATTGTGCCACAAAGTTTCAGAGTGAAACCAAGACTATCACAAGGATTGTAAAAGTTAAGTTGTGGTTCTGGAATGAGAGTCACGTCTATAGTCAGAGATATTTAGAATGCCATTCTAAGCAGACTTACTCCCTTTTAAACCCACTGATGTCAATGGACTTAGAAGGATAACTCTATTTAGGATGCTACTGATAGTACATTCACAATACACTGCAGTTTGTTTAAATTACAATTTGTTACATAGACCCTGATTAGTCTACAGTATATAAACTGACCTTCATTAATGAGCAAATCCTAGAGTCTACTTCTTGCCTCCTTTCTCATCTCCTAACAGAATCCCCAGATGCTATTTTAAAGTCCCTTGCACCTCCAGGCTGCTGACAAAACAAAGCCTCCCTATTCATATAGCCCATTTACTATTGGTTGGCTACAATAAACGGAAGGGGAAGCGTGAGAGAAGCCTAGGGCAGCCAAGCCTTTTCCTCCTTGCTTTTAGCTAATGATCATCAGTCTCCTTCTCTATCTTCTTCCTATCTCCTTCAATGAATTACTGAATTTTATAACTTGAAAAAAGAACACTTTATTTTATTATCCCCCCCAACCCCCAAGAGAAGCTGAAGCCTCTGAAACATATTCCTGCTTGGTGACTCATCACCGGAACTGTGGGAGCAGAAAGCATAGAAAGGGGAATATCTTCAGAAAACACCAGCTAGAGTAGCAAACTTTTCAGTTGATATGTGCTCCCTTCTCTGTATTAGAGTTTCCAAATTTATTTTGAGCAGGGACTAATGTACAGTGCATTGCAAAAGTCTAGTCTCGATGTCACCATGCCATGGATCCAGGTGGCCACGGAAGGATAGGATAAACAGTTTTAAAATTTGTTAATTGTACACTTACTGGAAAATAATACG